CAGAATAACTGTATACCTTCGATGAACAGCAGTCGCTTCGACATGTTCATGAGTCGCAAATTATGAGCATTGAGCAATTCACTTTCATTGATATCTATAAATTTTCGTGGATTTAATGCGACACTCGGAGCGATTCGTAACACTGCCATCTCCCTCTAAGGTTCGCAGAGCGAATGCCGAAGTGATGACGTAGTCAACCACCGCGCCGCGTGACGCGCTCCCAACCCTTCGCTGTTCGCCGAGCGCCCCCACCCCTTGCTGTTCGTCGAGCGCCTCCACCCCTCGCTGTTCGTCGGACGCCGTTCGGATATCCAACTGTCCCGCGCATATGAAAAATATTTATTATTCTGAATATCAAAATGTCATTAATAATTTTAAATAACTTCCAATTAAAAATTTGATGTTTAGAATAATCGTCAATTTTTCTTCGTATTTAGTATATAAATTTATTAAATTTGTATTGCTTGTGTGCTTTTTAACATTTACATTTTTAACATTATAGAATTACAAGTACATTTAGTGATCAATTCATTATGTACAAAGGCCTCATCGCTGTCCCTCGCGTCAGATGGATGCCTGTATATATATAGGATTTTTCTATTATTCTCTATCAATTTTTTTTATCAGGGTTATTAGGGCGGAGCGCCATGGCCAGAACTTGCAGTAGCTTTGTTTTAATATCTAGCTTCTTCTCCTCCGACACCTGTCTAATAATTGGCAGAAGTGAGAGGAGAAACATCTTCTCGTGATCTTCGTCGAGGGTAACGCGCTGAGTGTGCGAGGAGAGGTTGTTGTTAATTTCCTTGTCAATGGGCGTTTCGCACTGTTCCGAATCAGAACGCGGGCACTCCTTGTACGTGCCGTGTCTAATGAGATCGTCCTCCTTTACTGCAGCATTGTCTTCGCCCTCGCGTTCCTCCGAGGAAGAAATACTCGTGGGAACACTAAAACAAGATCAAACTTAGCTTTATCATTGATCGTTTGTCGCTTTTGACGACAGTTGATACCTCTTATTCTCCACTGTTGACATGAGGAACAACAATTGCTCGAAATATACGTATTTTTTTTTGTTTTCGTTCGGCGGGCCCAGACTCGTGCTATTTCTCACGTTTTACGTATTTCATAAAATAATCCCGTATATTTCTCTACTTTGAGCGTAAATTTTTCTCTAAAAATAATCACGAATCAACAGTTATAATTTTCTTCTATAAGACGTAAAATAACAGAATAATAATAATGTTTCAAATATCTAGGGAATCTTTTATAAGATTTTTGAAGAATTTATTTTGCTTTCTAATTTTTTCGTAACGCTAGAAAAAATGAAAAATACGAAGGGGTTTTATACGGTAAAAATATTTTGCATTTGATACAAGTATAAAAGTTTTATAGTACAAATTTTTGCTGCCGTCTCTTTTATTTTTTCAGTTAAAATTTTCGTGTTGAATTTTTAACATACTCGAATATTAATTTAATATGTAATTATGTTATTTGAATATTTCATTAATTGGTATTGAACATTTCTTACAATTAGTTAAAATGACGCAATTTATAAGTGAAAAAATAATAACAAATATATATAAATCGTATATATATTTTTAACGTTAACTGAAAAAATATGCTTTATTATAAAATATGCTAATTTACTGAAAAAAATATATTTCCATAATATGTTTTACGTATTTCATAAAATAATCCCGTACATTTCTCCACTTTGAGCGTAAATTTTTCTCTAAAAATAATCACGAGAGAAATGTTTCCAAATTATGTTACATTTTTTACATTAATTTTTATATAATATTATTGTGTTACATTTTAGTATCTACAGTCATCCTATGTCAAATTATTATAAAAATTTGAGACTGTTTGAAAAACATAAAATATGTTAAATATAACACAAATTTTACAATTGTGTAATTTTAACTATATTCATGTACATTGAGATAAAAATTTTTGGTATTTGTGACAATAATTACATGTAGCACAGCAGCGCCTGCAAAACACTAAAAAAGAGCTTATACATATACACGTTTTTAGCGCTTTTTTAACGTTTTGTATTGGCCATAGACTACTATATTTTTGTCTATATTATTCATTTTTCTCATATATTTTGTATTATTGTTACTAAATGTTGCCTATATTAAGTATAATAATATAAAATATTGATAAGATACGAGAGAGAGAGAGAGAGAGAAAGAGAGATTTGGGCGACCAGTATGCATTCAGCAACTTCCCCTAATTGTGCAAACACAAGGGTTATAAAGAGTCGCGGTAATTCGAGCGCAATACAATTTATTCTCTCAATCAATAACGATGTCAAATTCGATACACTTACGTATAAAATAATTCGATGTATTTATATATAATATAATTCGATATACTTATATGCAGAATTTTTTGTCAATCATCAATTTATCGTTATACTGACACCACCGAAGATGACTGGAACCAGAGTCGAAACGTATGGTATATGTAAGTGTATCGAATTTGATATCGTTATTAATTAAGAGAATAAATTATATTGTGATTGAATTATTGAGACTGACTCTTTATAACTCTTGTTTGCACAGTTATGTACTCTTCACTTATGAATTGATACTAAACATCTGAATAGAATCACAACTAAGCTAACTCAGTTTATAATAAAAATTAGTGAAATCAAAAACTTTTGTATCTCGGAAACAAGTCAGAAATAGATCAAACGATTCTATAAAGTTTTTGTGTCTTGAATTCATTTCCGAAGTTTATTATGCTCACATATTATGAAACATTCTATACAATCGATAAAAGTTTTAGAATACTTTTGCTTATAGATTTGTGGAAAGAAATATTTTCTATATACAAGTACAAGACAGAAATCAGATAACAATTATATTAGATTTATAAAAAATATTAAAGTCTTACCCAACATTATTACGTTTACTTATAAATAATGTAAATTATAAATAATAAATTTAATTTAGTAAATAACTGTTTAAAAAAGAAATTTTTTAATAACATTTGTAATATTGTGCCAAATTTTTATATCAATGTGCATTGCTCTCGTTTTGATCGTCGTAATTAGTTATAATACAACTTAGTTATAATACAACTAGTTATATACAACTTTTTTAATACACAACTTTATAAATACCTTCTAAAAATATTAAGATACATGTAAAAATCACTTAATTATTTGTATATAACTGTAAAAAATTAATGACGAAGATTAATCCAACACGAATGATCCATCGGATGTAATGAAGGAACAGAAAATTATCGTATTAAAGATTAACTTTATTAAATTTGTGCGAGACACAAGACATAATTCTTTTTTGAAAAGAGAGAAAAAGGTGTAATGCAAAAGTTTAATTTCCTTTTACAACTTTTCTAGACACGCACATATATTGTTTCTTTTTATTAACTCTTATCTTTTTTTATATATTGTATAACAATTATGACTTTTGTAACATTTCAGTCACTGTAAAGCACTACTTTCACAAGCTTTAATATTTGAAGTAAATTAAATCGTTGTTACCTTCGTTGGAAACTCTTGTTCTTCCGTGGTATCGTCTCGTGATGCCGTTCGCTTAATGTATGATGTTGTAATAAATATGCTACGAAGTAAGGTAGAGAGTATACCAAATATCATATGAAAGTCACGTATTATATGACCACGTATTATATAAATGACCAAGAGACATGTCATTAGCCGGTATTCAGCGGAATGTTTATTTTTCCATTGTTAGAAGCTTTCCTCGCTGAGATAGGACTATTTCTCTAGACCTAATATAATCCAATCGGCGTAAAGCGGTTATTAAGTGCTGATTTTTGCTGAATGCGATGGTTTGACAACGAACGGAGATCAAACGCATGTGCAAATCTTAACGGATCGCTTCTTCTTTTATTAATTATTTTACTTATATAATAATGTATGCTTTATTTCTAGCATATCCTTCTAATACTCGTATTTAAATACTCTGATATCACAATATACTGATAAAATAATTCTTTTTAAAGCAAAGTATACCATAAACTGTTAATTTGTATTAATGCTAACGGATATACATGTACACATATACGTTAATTCCTTATAAAAATTATAAATATATATTCGAAAATACTTGAAAGAATTATTTCAAAATATCAGATTTATTATTACTTTTAGTTACTTTACAAAAATATGCAAATATATATTAAATTTTAATAAAATAAAATTCTTGTAATGTTTTATCAAACAATATTTAAGATATATATGCACATACATATCGTGATTATTACATAAGAAGTGTTAAAAATTTGATTTTATAATATGACAAATATCAATCCATAATATATATAAGACTCACATTTTATTCTTATATAATAATTCCAGTGCAATTCCTAATAATTTATTATACGTCTAGTGTGTGAAATCTATTTAAAAATTAATGTTACAATATTAACGTCTTATTATTCTGTGATAGCATATCTTTATATCTTTATATGCGATATATAACTATTCTAATTTCATAAGCTAATTTCATAGAAATATTGTATTAAGAAGAGCGTTCTTAAAAGTAATATAATTATTTTCATCTTTCAAAAGTAGATACCAATAAAAACTAAATGTTTATTTGCAAAAAGAATATACAATTATGATGAAAAATAGTAATTTTGATATTTTTGGATAGTTCTCTTTTTGTTCTATGTATATCTTTCTTTATTTCTTTTTCTGTCTTTTTCTGTCTTTCAAGAGTTGTTAAAACATGGTAGATCAATCAAAAGTGACTGTTTCGTGTCCAAAATCTTGTTAGAAGGTCTCTGAATTAAATTGTTAGGATCACTTTCAGAACGCTTTGCGCGCTCTGTCGTCCTTTACTTTCTCATGTAACACAAGCATGTACACAAGTTCATGTATAAATATCAGTGTGAGCATTAATAATCGACTAGTCCTTTTTCCGTTGTGTGTTTTGAGTGTGACTAAATTCGAAAGAGAATTACAAGGTTTCTAAAATATTCTTAATTTTTCTGACTTTAATCAGGAAATTTGAGAAACATGTTTCGATTTTTCGTGGTAATCGTAATATTTTTCGTGTTAATCAACGCGGAATTGCAAAAGTGAGTATATATAAACGTTGATTCCCAATAAAAACCTCAACGATAATTAGAACAAACTTGTAGAAAAATGTACATTGTATGTCAAAGTGAAGCAAATAGAGAAATGCTTTTGAGAATCTTATTAGGGTTCACACTTTTAATTTGTTGTCATGAAAGAAGAAATTCTGATTTAAAATAACTAAACAGCATGTAATGCGTAAATAGATAAATGCAAGTAACATTTATTTCTTAATATCAATATATTGAGACTTTAATAATTTTTAAAAATAAGAAGTATTTTAAGATGATGAATTAGTTTGTCCGAAATTTGTGTATGTTGTATTACATTCGTATATTCGTACATATGTGAAACATATACAATGCTGAATTTGTTTATGTTGCTTCAAGAATTCCGTTGAACAAGACAAATTCCATTCGAAAATCGCTTTCCATCGATCGTTTATCTGGAAATACTAGCGTTATAAGATTACCCTTGCATTATGATGGAAATGCTGCATACTATGGCGCTATCACAATTGGAACTCCACCACAAAATTTTAATGTAGCTATCGACATTGCTTTCCCAGAATTAATAATACCATCGAGAAATTGCTGTTCTAATGTTCGTAAGTCAAAATATATCATAACACATGGTTGGGAAAGTCACCTACTTCATAAAAGTAACACGTTACTAAAATGACTTCAAAAAGTAATGCGTTATCATCGTTACTTGGAAAGTAATGTTACTTTTTTCGTTACTTTTTTATAACGTTAAAGTAAGATTAGATTTAAAAATTAAATTATCTAACAATCAATATCAATTGTGAAAATCAATATTAAAACTTAAAATTTTAAAGTCTGATAATAAGCTTTTCTTTATATTAAACTTATATCTAATGAATCTTTGATAATTCTCTATATATTAATATTTCCATTTTTTTAAATATTAATTTAATATTGTTTTAATATACTATTTTTTTTCAGCGTTATATAATACATACGATCACACTAAATCCAGCACATACATACCAAATAATACATTTTTCAATTTTGTATATAATAAGGAAAAGACGAATATAATAAGGATAATGTCGGGATTCTTATCTACTGATGTAATAAATGTGAGTCATCGTCAAGTAAACAGTTCTATTTGGCTTCAATTTTAGTGTAAAAATATGCTAAAGACACATCAATATTTTGTAGATTGTTGGGATTAATGTTTCAAATCAGACATTCGGAGAAATACTTGTAATCGAAGTGATTGAATTCGACAATGTGAAATTCGACGGTATATTGGGAATGGGTTTCTCTACGGTACCTTCCGAAATGTCTTCTATCTTTACCACTATGATTAAACAAGGTCTGTTGTCACGACCTGTTTTTAGTTTCTATTTAAATCGGTTTGTATCTTTCAGTATGGCCCCTTTTCCAAAATTATTTTTCACAAATTATCCCCTCATATTAGAAAATTTGCCTTTCTATATTATAAAAATATTGTTTTTTCATATTGAAAAATACATAATCTATACAGGAATCCCGAATTGAATAATGAACTGATATTGGGTAACTCCGATGAAACGCTTTATGAAGGCAATTTAACGTACGTTGATATCATCCACGAAACATTCTGGAAATTTTCTATAGATCAGTACGTGATTATTTTTTAAATTATATGTATGTTAGTTACAAATTATATGCCAACTAATTGTTAATAACGCTGTAGAATTAAAATAGGAGATACGATTTTATGCATGAATCGCAGTCAAGCTATGATCGACACGCTCACACTCAAGCTAATTGGACCATCACCAGATATTGCAAATATTAATAGACAAATCGGGGCTAATGATACTGAGGGAGAAATGATTGTAAATAATGACACTTATTGCAATGGCAGCTATTTTTCAACAATTATATATAGATTACTAAAATATATTAGATAATATTCGATATATTACTAATTATACACTAATATAGTTACTAACACTAAGTTTTGTTTAAAGGTGGATTGCGACAAGATTTCTAATTTGCCCAAAATCTATTTCTTCCTAGATGACAAACCATTCGGTTTCTCTGGTGAAGATTATATTATTAAGGTAAATATCGTTAAATAACGTTTCAAAATGTTTTAGAGTAGAAACATCATGCCGTAATCAATTAGTTACAGCTCGAACAAATTAATAAGACAAAGTGCATAAGCGCTTTTAAGAGTGCAGATACCTGTATAAGTGCGAACAAAACTAAGGAACCGGATTGGATTTTGGGCAATGTATTTCTTCGTCGGTACTATACCGAATTCGATATAGAGAATAACCGAATAGGATTTGCCCCTGCAAAATAAATGTTACTTTCTCAAGAGATTATTGTTAAAAGCTTGAAGATTTAAATGACAATTCTAAGTGTACAATTGGATCAAATTTTTTTGAAACGTTGACTCTAGATTCTTATTCTTATTGCTATGTAATTTTCATTTGCGATTATCTAAGCGATACATTTCTTAGATAAATACATACGTCACATTTTAGAAATTCAGAACGAAGATGTACGATATTATTTTTACCTGCATGAGCTTCGGTAAGGGAATGTCTGCGCGATGACTGCGTGTAAACATGTCGCGCTGCCCATCGCGTCAAAAAGCCGCGTGACAACCGTCTAACTGTCGAAATAATAATCCATATTACGAAATAAATAATATAATCTATTCGTTGCATTTTTTTGCGATGAATAGACTTAATTGCTTTATTTTTTAGATTTGTTACACGCACACACGATTACTCATTTACATCTTAGATATTTCAATTGTGTTGCACAATAAGCGCGGTAATTATGAAGTATAGGGGAGGCCACCCAGATCGCTTTGACCTTGACATATCTTGTTAAGATCACGACCCTGTGTGACCTCCACCAGGTTTTATGTGGCGCTCGCTGTCCGTTAAAAAGTAATTAACAAAAGAAGTTTAAAAAATAACGTCTTATTTCTGTTATAACGAAATTTATGTAATTTAATAGACAGTTACTAGTTAGTAATTAGTACATACGTGTATCAAGCGAGGGGGTAATCACTAGCTGAAATACTGTCCTACAGATTACATGATTTCATATGATTTCATCTGATTATAAATAATTTTTTTACTACATATGAAGTCATTTGGTTATAAAATATACGATTTTATTTAATATTATACAATGATTTCTTTTGGTTGCATACGTAATTATCGGATTATACATATAAATTTCATATGAGTTTTTTTAATGATTTCGAGAACTTTGTCCCACGATTACATTAAGTGGTTACCCCCTCGGTATCAAGTGTATGATGTAAACTAGGTCAATATGCAACAGGCCTATAGTACTTTCCACAGTACAATCATAGAAGTCGTGCGCGGTGCGTCCTTGGCAGGGGGGAGGGTGGGAGCAGAGTCGCTTCGCGTATGTACTAACTACTAACTAGTAACTGTCTATTAAATTATTTTAATTTCAGAGATGTATTCAAAGAAAAAATGATGTACTAAATTGATACAATATGCATCAAAATAATTGATTAAATACACGTACATATAATGTTTACACGTATGTACATACAGGGTCCGGCAAAATGATCTCCCACATTTTGCACCGCTACTGTGCCCGAATCATTGAAGAGAGGGGGAGCTTAGCGTAGTCGGTTGGTAGCTCACGCCTTGCCATTTCAGTTGTCGTCATGAATTGGACGGGTGAGCATCGTGCCTTCGTTATCGAAACATTTTTGAAAAGTAACGAATCTGTGATTACGACGCAAAGAACTTTTCGTACTCACTTCGCGCTTGGTAGACATGCTCCAGTTCCAGATCGCAAAACAATACTGTTGTGGGTTTCAAATTTTAGAGCTACAGGTTCAGCCTTAAAAAGAATACAGCCTTAAAAAGAAATTACAGGAATATCGCCTCAAATTACTGCTCGAGTGATGGAAACTTTCAGAAATCAGCTTCGAATGTGTATCGAAAAAAATGGTCGCCACTTGGACTCTGTAATTTTCAAAACTTAATAAAAACAAATGGCATAGCATACATTTTCAGTTAATAAAAATAAAATCTAAATAGCATTTATAATGGCGTTTTTATTAAAGATTAAAATGTGGGAGATCATTTTGCCGGACCCTGTATATACGAGGGGCACTACTTATATTTTGAGCCTTGGCAACACTGAGTGTTGTCAGGTGCCATCTGACGTTTCCACTAGAAAGTTTGACATTTTTGACCATAACCTTCTTCAGAACGTTTTGTTATTTGAGCGCGATTTGTATTGTTTACAGTCACTTGAAAATTGTGTCTCAGCGAAAAAATGGAATTAACTCGTGAAAATTTTCGTGCAATGATTTATTACGACTTTCGACGTGGATTATCAAGACAGGAGTGCATCGATCAACTTACTTCCACTTTTGGCGATAAAGCCCCATCCTTTGCCACTGTGAAACGCTGGTATAGCGAATTTAATCGTGGTCGCCGTTCGCTCACCGACGAAAATCGTGAAGGTCGTCCAAAATCAGTTGTTGTGTCAGAAAACATTGATGCTGTGCAAAAACTAATAATGCAAGATCGTCATGTGACATACTGTGAGATTGAGACAACCTTAGGCATTAGTTCCACCAACGTATATAAAATATTACATGATCATTTAGCCGTGAAAAAGGTTTGTTCTCGTTGGATTCCACATAATCTGACAAAATCTCAAAAAGATGCTCGTGTCGATTGGTGCAAACAAGTGATTCGAACGCATGCAAAAGTGTATAGATCATAAAGGAGAATATTTTGAAAAACAATAAAGTCATTTTCAATGACAAATTACTGTTTTTTTATTATTAGGCTCAAAATATAAATAGTGCCCCTCGTATAATGTTTACATGCATCGCCGAAATTAAGATAATTCAATAGAAAGTTATTAGTATCTTAGGGCCAGTTTCACCAACGCCGATGAAGCTTAATCGATGATTAATTGTCAACCGCAATTGGTCAGTTCTACTAAACAGCAAACGCGATTGGTTCTAAGCCATTAACTTGAAACTGACCCTAAGCCATTAACTTGATACAGTTGTGGATGTAGCCAGACTCACACTCTATCAATTTTAATCGATTTAGAATTTAGATGAGTCTCGAGACTCACATGACATCAATTTTTCGACGCTACTTCGACTTTATAAAGCAGTATCAATAATGCGATACGTAGTTTGCATCATTCTACAAACTTAGGGCTCAAGATTCGAGATGATCTTAAGCTTCATGAACCAATCAGAGAGCCGTATTAGCATCTTGAAGACATTGCTTGAGATTAAGACCGGACTATGGATTCCGCCCTTAATGTTGATGTCGCTAGTGTATGGGAGCTTCGGAAAGTTTCCTTTCCAAGTGTCATACGAAATAGATCGAGCTGACCGCTTTCAGGTTCCTTTCTGTTTTGATGTTTTGCGCAGAAAAGCTTAGTTGTTGTCGGTTGTTGTCAGTCATTAAATTTTTGCCATAGTGGAATATAAACGTCATGAGTGCCGCATACGCGTCGCGCTTCGAAGCTGTGTTCCTTTGCGAACATCCGAAAGGACCAAAAATGTCACCTTCAACTACTGTTGAGTACATGAGAACATCAAAATATTTCGTTAAAAAGTGGATAGAGCGATATAAAAAAACAAAAACAGTTAATGACGTATCAGAACAATGCAAAAGTTTACCTGATTCCATGGTGGAATCTGGTAATTCCATCAAGCCTGACTCGATGCAAAAATTGACAAGGAAACAGTATACACGGATAGTGAGTATGTTTTCGGGAAATCCTGAATTAACATTACGTCAAGGACTAGCACGATTAAAAGAGGAAGGTTTCAATGGAAATATTTCTTGTAAAACTGTAAAACACTGTCTATGTGCTCATAATATAAAATGGCAGAATCGTCGAAAAACAAAGAAATCTCCCGGTAAACAATTGTCATATATAATCATATATAACATATAAAGATATAGATATATAATTATGTATAATCCATTATAATTATGTATAACTTTATATAATGATCAGGGTTGGGTAGTGCTAAATTAAAAAGATAAACATTAAGTTAAAAAATTAAAAAGTTAATTGATTTTAACTTAACTTAGTTACATTTTAGACTCTTAACTTTTTAACTTAATTTAGTTAATTTATCAGTAACTATTAACTTTTAATTTGATTTTTTTTAAGTCAATCTTCAGACAATGCGAGAGGATAATGAGCATGTAATTTAGTAATTTTATATTGTATAATCGTTACTTGTGAACAAAAATAACCAGATTCTTTAATAAATATGCTGTGAGAAAGAAAAAATACGAAAAATTATGTAAAATGGTCAAACTTTTTTTCTTTTTTTTTGGTTCTTTTGGACCAAATTTAACTTTTAACTTTTCAATTACTTCTTTATTAACTTAACTTTTAATTCAATTAATTTCATTATGGATTAAGTTCTATTTTAATTAAGTTAAACTTTTAAAGCTGTTAACTTTAACTTAACTTAGTTTAAAAAAAAGTTAACTTACCCAACCTTGATAATGATAGCTCATTCTTATATATGTGCGTGTGTACGTATGTGTGTGTGTGTGTGTGTTTTAGTTATACATAAATTCTTTATTACATGTTATACAGGGTGATTCGAAATTCCCGCATTCGAAGGAAAAAACATGATACTTTATGCTAAAACAAACAACTTTTCCCTTTAACAAAATTGCACCCGATAAATAATTTTTCCGCTTATTTGTTAACTTCAATCTGTTCTCCTACAAAAACTACTTATCGAATACAATTTTGCTAAAGGAAAAAGTTGTTTTTTGTGTTAAAATAAACAACTTTTTCCTGTAGTAAAATTACATTCGATAAATAATTTTTTAGTTTACTCGTAGAACTTCACCTGCTCTCCTGCAAAAACTATTTGTCAAACGCAATTTTGCTAAAGGAAAAAGTTGTTCGTTTTAGTATAAAGTATTATATCCTGTATTCCGAATGCGGGAATTTCGGATTACCCTGTATATAAACCAATAAACGAGAATGGATTGAAATGGATTCAGATTTTCAGAAATACTCATTCACGAATGTTAAAATAAATTCTTTTTAATTCAAATTTTTATTTAGTTATAGATATTGCATGAAGCACATTTCCATGTTTTTCAATCTAAAAGTAATATGAGATTTTTCTGTGCATTGTGAATACTGCTCAAAGAAAATTCTAAATAGAAAATGCAATCTTTCAGTTCACTTGAATTTAGTTGAATCCAATTGAATCCAATTAAATAAAAACATTTTTTTTTAAACTAGATTTAATGGATTTAAAATACATATAAAAATTTTAATCCATTCTTGATTATTAGGAAAAAAAAAATATATATATATATCATATATAATTCCTACACATTTTTATACATAATTTTTATACATAATTTTATATATAATTGGTTATAGTTTATATGTATATAAATTTATATGATTATATATAATTTATCCATATAGCTTTTTATGTATGTATAATTATACATAGAGTGATTTTAATTTATCATTCTCTCTCCAACATACTTTTACTTTTAACTTTAGAAAAAAATATATTAGTCAAAAGTGGAATATATATATAGTTTCAAGGGAAACATATTTTGGTCATATTGTTTTTCTTCTAGGTGCCTAAGCACCAAAAAAAAGATTAAAGGTTATCTCCACTTTTTTAAGTGAAATTATATTATATGATTTTTGTATATTGTATGATTCCTGTAATTATATATATTTTATAAAAGTATTAAGACAGAGATATAAAAAAATGAATTAATAGTTTATGAGATATTTTTGTTCGGACAAGGCATTGGACAACCCAATGTGATAAGTGAGGAAAACAGATTAACAAATCCACAGTCAAGTCTGCAGCCTTTAGATGGTTTTAAATCTGGACTAGTCACTGCGACGTCAGCCAGTTCCTTTGCAAGGAACAAAGGAATGGCATTTGTCCTTCAGTCCTGATACTAGGGACTCTGTCGTTCATAGAGTGTTAGTGAAAATTTTATTATATATGACTTTGAAACTTATCGAGCTATAACTCTAGTTTTATGTTATAGCGTGTGGGTCTACTTTTCTTAGGGTTCAAGCAATATTCCCGACTCTTGATCCAAAAGCCACACTCGATAAAAAAATGCACAATTTGGTTGCGTATACGAGGAAGGTGGAAGTTGAAGTATATGAAGTGGCTAATTCCCAGTTGGAATACTACCAGCTGCTGGCCGAGAAAGTTCACAAATGTCAAAAGAAAATTGGTAAATAATACAATTTTTCAATGACATTAAAACATTTTTTAAGGCTGCGGTATTCATTTTTATTTAAAAGTCTTAAATAATAACCGTCTTAAGATACTAATACAACTCATTATTTTATCACATTATCCAAGACATTACTTAAAAACTATCTTAAATATTAGAACTAAGTCATATAGTCCATTTTCATCTTTTTTTTCGTTGTTAACATTACATTCTTTTTAATGAGAATATATATATAAATATATACAGTATATGTTATACATATTTCAAAGGTTAATTGAAATATGTATAATATATATATATCTATATATCACTATAATAATTATATATTTTCATTGTGACTTAGATGGCTTAAGTCTCTTTCGCAATCAGACGCCGTTCCATTCCGGCCCAGCACTGTTCCCAATTGGCCTTATGAGTCTTGGCAAGGACATGACTTCGCTGAAACAAGCAGCACTGAACACTTCATGCAGCATATCCATGAATAGCTGTTGCAGATAACTGCCATCATAATGCCAGTGTTAGATCGTGACAATTCACCTAGCCCGCTGATAAATAGTAACGAAGATAAGCTGGATCCCATCAAAGAGGAGATAAAGATGGAGATCAAACAAGAACCACTGGACGAGCCGCAGAATCACAGAATGGATGGTAAAAATGTGAACACCGAGATTATTATTAAGACTGAGCCGAAGACTGAACCAATGGAAGAAAGGGTCACCTTGAATAAGGCAATCGTGAAGGAAGAACCTAGCATTAAAGAAGAGAGCATGACTCAGGTCACCTTGAATGAGCCAATCGTGAAGAAAGAGCCTAGTATTAAAGAAGAGAGCATGACTCGGGTCACCTTGAATGAAGCAATTGTGAAGGAAGAGCCTAGCATTAAAGAAGAGAACATGACTCCATTGTCCAGTTCAATTCAGTCAGGACATGACCATCTCCGACATAAAACCTTTGATGTCATAATCGATTCAACTGAGTAGCACGTCTTCTGACAAGAAGAAGTGCTTCTTCAAGCTTGATGAATTGCGCTAGGCATTGAGGGAATCCTCAAGTCGTCCGTATTATCGACTAACGCAATAATTTTTGTACAACAATTACTTTTTCCTTTTTTATAGATTTGAAAATTCTTTCCCAGGAAAATATACGCATTTATATGTGTCTGCGAGGTAGAGATTATGTTGAGAACGAAAAAAATGATTTAAATTGAGAGAGAGAGATCTTCTTTACCATTTCTTACTCCAATATTTTAGAGTTGCCAATATCGTAACAATATTTACTTGATATAAAAGCTTTGCAATCTACTTATGAAATTATAACAGACTATTAGTTTATACGAACAAACAACGTGGAGTTCTTAGAATTAAGTGTAGATGTCTAATTAAAACTTATCGTTCTACGAAAATTTATGTATATGTGTGCGAGATTGATATAGCATATTCCGACATGATCGCCGTTTTTACAAAAAAAAATATGATATAGTATATAAAGCTGTGTCGATGTGTCGTATTTTTTTTTTGTAAATAGCGATCTCGTCGAAGTTTGAATTTGATCTTCTTAATATGATGTTGGAGAAGTTATATCGACAGGATTGCGAGAGCATTTCGTTCCGGCAATAGGTAGATCCTCAAGCATTCCTAGAGTATAATCTAGTGGCATAACAGTTATAGAAACGTTTATACAACTTTCTTTTAACATATTGTTGGTATTTAAAGTGGAAAGAAAATTATATATTTTATATCACATGTCGTAATTACTTGAAAAATGGAATATATAATTTGACATGGTTAGACAATACTGATTGTAGTTAATAATGTTCTATTCTTGTTTATATTAATTTACAGGCGAGAGTGAACGTTCAGTTTGATTGTCATCTTGTATACGAATAATATATGGATATACATACATTTATTTCTGTTCTCTAAAGTCTAATTAATTATTTTGGAAATAATGTTTCCTCTCCATTCTTGAGAAGCATCGATTTTCTACATTTTGGTTGCATTCAGCAGAGAAAACTAATTAGAGGAAACTAATTTGAGCGCTCAGTGATTATTATAATTGCGATTCCTAAGTTTAAATCCAGCAAATAGGTCTGTTCGCGTTACATCTCCAAATATTTTTACACTTAAAATGAGATAGATATATATTTGGCTTTAAAAAGAGAGAAAGCGAAGATGCCGAGTGCAAAAACTGCAAGCAACGCGAACAGACATAATAACTAAAGACGAGAGATTCAATAATATATTAACCTTCACATCGAACACTTGATACGCGTACTATAATTAAGATAATACTGAAATTAATTTAATAGATAATTTAATAGAAAGTTACTAGTTAGTACGCGTATCAAATGTGTAAAAGGGATCCTTAATTAAATTAATTAAGTATTTAAACATTTGCTGCACCCATATATGTAATACTCCTATATTGCTAACGCCAATTCAAGAAGACTACTAGAACCAGGAGAGTCAACTCGGCGTAAAAGCGGTAGTGGGGGTGAGGCAAGAAGTGGAAACGAACGACACCCCCCACTCTTCCGCTTCATCCTCTCTGTTGCTCTACATAGTCGGTTTCAATTCGTGACTGCGCATGTCAACGTACCTTGTTTCTGTTTGATTGAATTTTGAACTAAACATAAACCGTAAAAATTTAATCCGATGTGATTTACGATGCCCAAGCGAGTGTGCTGTGTTCGAAATTGTGACTTCAATCCTGGAGATAAAGAAAATCGAAAAACAATATTCCAATTTTGTGAGGTATGTATTGATGAAATATAATCTAGAGAAATGTACAAAAATGTGATTTAATAATTTTGTCTGACATTTGTATACATAACAGTTATATTAAACCTCAATTATTATATTGCAGAAATCTCCATACTTCAAAACATGGATGAATGCGATTGGACCAAACTTGAGAGATGGAAAGAAAACTCGCAAAAATTATTACATTTGCGAACGACATTTTGATGACAGTAATTTACATCGAATTCCTATGAATATATTAAAGGATGGAAAAGAGGTGACCCTGTTACGTAGACGCCCAATGTTAAAATCGACAAGTGTCCCATACATTTTTCCAGTAAATATCAAAGTCACATGTGATCTATGGCGTTGTTGCATATATTTCCAGATAATAATTGAGCACTTGATGTAACCAAAAATTTATTCTTCAGGATTCAAGGCTTATAGATTCAAATAATCTTGAAAGCTCCTCGATTATAGATTCAAATAATCTTGAAAGCTCCTCGATTATAGATTCAAATAATCTTCCAATGGAATGCACTTTAGAAAATGTTTTTAACACAACGGTTTTACTAAAGGAGTGGAATGCAAGACCTTCTTATGAATCCATGGGGTCATGGGGTGTGACAAAAACAACGTGTGGATTACTTTTCATACTTTTAGAAAGCACTTCAGAACAATGTAGCAATACAGTACAGCGTTCTTTACTTGTAAAGAATGACATGACTATCGAGGTACCTTAGGACTTTTATACATTACAAGTTTTTTTGTATATGAATTTATCTGCCTATACTATTGCTTATTTGATTTGTTTATTTCAGTTACATGCTTATAATCATCCTGTCACTTATCATCTTTTGGAAAAGGTGACGTGCCTACAAGATATTTATTTTTTATTACGAAAAATAAGTGCAATGAAAATGTGCCAAGAAGAGTCCTGCACTATTGGGTACTTTGAGCATAATCCACTTTCACGATCCAATCTTTGTAAAGATTGCCAATTAAAGAACAAAAGAAAAAAAGTAAGAGAAAGTAAACGTGAAAAGAGAGCAGCCGTCAGAAAAACGAAGGAGAAAATTTGCAAGAAAAATGTAAAACAAAAGTACAAACGGATATACAACCAGGTTTGTAAACGTTTATTAATGCCTACAAGCTAAATTTCAGTTTTTGAATTACATACTTATGTGAGTTGACATATGTTACAGATGAAGAGATACAAAGTAGAATTAGAGAATTTAAAAGTACAATGTGCCTCACAAAAAGAGGAAATTCTCGACGAAGCAATAGCAAGCTTCCCATCTGCCTTGAAGAAGTCGATTAAAGCATGTTGGAGATATGCATTCGCTGCCTTCGCATACCTCCCACTCCCAAAAAGAGGTCGCGTTAGCAATAAATACAAGAAGACTAGAACTAAGGAGGATCAACTCGCGTGGTGGGGGTGAGTCAAAAAACGTCCGCGGCTATTCACACGATGTGC